TTTTCCTTGCTGCTTATCTGCTTTTGTCATCACTGTTACATACAAGAAATACAGTGGTTGCCAAACCAATAGACCCATATCTCCAAAACCCTACATCTCCTTGCTCTGATACTCTAGGAATATGAGCTCTAAATGTCAATCTGAGACTGACAGAAAAGGGAGTCAAATTGGTAAGAAAAAAAGTTTGGAACCACTGAGTCTCAAGAGTCTCACGTTTTGGCAATTGCTCAACTGGGGCATGTCACATTTTGCTAGCACCTCTCTCTCTCTCTCTCACACACACACACACACACACACACTCACTAGATTTCTACCGGGTCTGGGCGCTGAAACTTCCCGAAATCACAAAAGAGTTCCCCTACCGGGTCTGTATACTTCGTGACTTTGTTCCCGGGTCTGTATACACTTCGTTTAGCAAAATATCGCCGTAACTGTTGTTTCAATTTCAACGGAAGTAAGGGAGGTTGCTTTAGGTTTGTGTGCCACTCTTTTGGGGCTAGATTTAAAAACAAAGTTTTAAATGATTTTTTTTTGTACTCCAGTGCCCGACAGTTAAAAAAAACCGAAGTGACTATTCGGACTCGAGTCCGAATATGAAAAAATGTTATTCGGACTCTGATTCTTGTCCAACATGACATCACTTCCGACTTCCTGAGACTCGTGACTCCGGCTTCCTGTCCTGCCTCACTCGTGACTCGCCTCAGGCTGGGTAGAGACCGTGACCACTTCGGGCAAAATGGCGTTTTGTGCAGGAGCCGAGTTTTTATCTTACGATGAATTTGAGGCCGGCCTGAAAAGTTATAGCGCTTCAAATAAATGTTTATTTGTCAAGAGGTCACCAGAAGCAATTAAAGATGGCTCGTTAGCATGTGTCGGGGTCGGAAGGGCGGCCTGCACACGTGTCGCTGTGTGTGCGTGTCGGGGGGCACTATTGGTCCGGGCGTTGGACGTCGCATATACGCGTCTGTCTTTTATCCCCCGGCAACTGATCATTATTACAATAATATAAGCTAGTCTTGACGTAGATCTACGTAATGAATTGTGCGCTGGTCTATGGAATCAAAAGTTGCCGTATGCTCGGCTCTACACAGCAACACAACTTTTACTTGGTAAACAATCGAGATGACACAGGCTTGTGTATTTGAACGAATCGGTCTTTTTTTTTTACACAGCTCATAATGTGTAGCAATGCCAATCGGGCTTTCCCGCGAGGCGAAAATTTGGTCCCCGTTTACGGGCGATTTTGCGGACCCGGCCGAAGCGTAGGTGACTAACTTTGTCAACCCCGGTCTGCTCTATTTCCAAACCAATCCGAATGAAACTCGGCAACCAATCAGAAAATAGGGCAAACTAATGATATGTGGACGTTGAAGTTCGTACACATAAATTAACCTATACTTTTGGTGTCGGGAACACTTTCGTATCGTGTACACCGAAAACTATAAAAGGAGTTTGAATTTCAACGCCGAGATGGTAATAGATCTATCTATCCTCTGTAGTGTGCTCAAATTTGAACGTTCTGTGTCAAGTAGTTGTTTAGACCCGATCATAAATACACGACTACCCCCCTATACAAAGCGGCTTCGCACGGAGACCGGCCATTTTCCCCTCACTCTCGTGGCAAATGTATGTGACCTACAAATCCCCGCATGACTATTCCGGGCCCGTTCATTGGTCACTTGAAATAAGGCAATGGCGGGCGCGCGCAGCCGGTTGTTTTTCTCTCTATTCCCCTGTAACATCGCTATGGGGGTATTCCGAGGCGAGGTTATCTCGTCTCGGGGTGTTCGCGTCTCAACGGGGAAAATTTTTTAAAAATTGTACGGCATGCTAGATTGAATAAACTTATCTTTTAAGGTTGGCATGGTCTAAAGTCATCATAAAAAGCTTGGCAATTATTACGCTGCCGACATATATTCTTAAAGATCCCATGTTGTGATACGATGCTATAAATAAAATGGACTCCTCCCGACACCCGTTTTTCGCAAAATCGTAATATGTACACCATAATTTTAATTATAACAAAATAACAACGAAATTGGTAGTAAATCTGACTGCAGAAATGATTTCTACACTCAAAAAGACATCGGGTAGCCAAGTTTCTCTCGAACACTCCGACTAGTTACCGAGATATATCGTCAATTTTCTTACAGAATCTGCTACTGCGTGGTCCACATTTTAGGAGTATTTTCCTATATGTGGGTCATCTATATTTTGCCGACCTTTACAACCCCATAACTTTTTTTATTTATGAACCGATTCTCAAAATTCAAGAAGCATAATTCTAAGAATTGAAAATTCTTTCTTAGGTACCAAAAAAAACGGGACAAAAGTGAAAATTTAAATTTTCATTGGCATTGCTATGTGTAGATTCTAGGTGCCAGGTGGTCTGTTGATCTTCAATTTTACCTTTTTCTACAACAAAGAGAGTGGAAAACATGGGGGGGGGGGGGGGGGGTGGGGGGCGTATCAATGAGGCGGCGGGCATTGGATCGGCAGATAAGGTGTGGGGGAAACTAAAAAATGGCGGAAAATTGGAAGCACTGAACGTTGTGTGTCGTTAGATCTCTATAGAATGAAGACACTTCCTTTTTTCCGGACCCGAGTCCGAATAACATTTTTTCATATTCGGACTCACGTCCTAATAAATTTGTTATTCCGACTCGAGTCTGAATAACGACGGCAAAAAAAAAAGTGCTGTCCGACCCGGTACGATTACTCTATCCATTAAATTCATTTGTTTACATCCAGAGAAGAAATCAAAAGTTTTGCTGACGAAATAGGCAACACAAAGAACAGGGATGCAACTTAACGGCAAAAACCCCATCAAATTATGGTAAAATACACCCCCCACTCCCCTCCATATTTTTATTAGGTCAGGGGGAGGGGGGGGCTTAAACCCCCTTCTCGTGACATTAACGAATGAAACTGGGCCTACAAAATCACCCTGCTAGGTGCTCGTAGTAGCTTCAAGTAGTCATAAGTTCGATCTAGATCTAGATCTAGATGTTCGGTTGGGGCTGAAGCCGAAGACTAGGATCAATTGGCCATGGAAAGTTCTAAGAAAAGTAGATCTAGAAATCTAGTAGGGTCATGGAATGTGAGCAGGGAGACAGACAAGACAACAAGACTAAGACCGGTCACTGCTGACAGTCGGCAGAGTTGGAGGTCCATAACAAAGAAATATTCGAACCGATAATACATGCAGCATCATTTATTGAGAAACAATAATCACTGTCCAGTACATAATGACACAAAAGCAATGAACCTGAAATATACTTACCATAGTTGCTGTTTAAACCAGGAGCAATCTAAGAATATTATGAACAAAACACGCTGTTTGTCGTTAACGGCGCCGGAAGTAAGAAGTCAGGAGAGTGTGTAGACCAAAAGAGTAGAGAAAAAAATCATTTTCTTTTCTTTCCAAACCTAAAGAAATAAACTCACTGAAGAGCTTTGAAAAAGTACTCAGCCTTTGATTGACTTTTTAATAGCATGCTTGAGTCTTTTTAGTATCATATTTTGTTATTATTGAAGTAAATGTGTTCAGTGTTGGTCACACAACATTTTTATAATGTGCAAACAGGCAATGCACTTCAAGAATGTTCCAGTCTTTCTTGCCAGGTTCAGACTCATTGCCCAGACTCGCAGTTCAGGGGAAACCATCAAGATAAAATACGAAAACCCTCGAAATGATGAAACCCCTAACGGAGTTGTTACCCCTTATCTTGTCGCGGTTGTTTGATAGAGAGATAGATAGATAGATAGATAGATAGATAGATAGATAGATAGATAGATAGATAGA